AAAAATCGATGTTTATCTGTGTTTTTTAATATTTACTTTTAAAGTACCAAATTGATAATGTATTTTTCTAAAATTTTAATTATAGTCTACAGTTTGATACCAAACTTATTGACATAAATTCATGAAATAGTAGTTAAATAAAATTTTGAATGCGAGTCAACAAACTAGATGACATGGCCTTTCACCTGAGACCTGTCTTGAAAAGGTTAATAACATATGTGTTGCTTTAACTCGTATAATCTTGTTCATTTGCATGTACTTTCAATTTGTTTACTTATTCTTGGGCAAAATCCATCTTATTGCTCAGACTTGAATTTTTGAAATTGTTTGTATCAGCCTAAATCATTTGGTAAGTGTCTTGTTTGCTCAATGAAGCTGTAATGACAAAACTTTGGCTTAAATAATACCAGTTATGTTTTTAAAAGTAATAGGTTGTGTATTATTTCCCCTTTTAGAAGAATGTTTAATTTGTATTTTAAATGGATGTAGTATTTACCTGTGTGGTGTTTAACTTGAAAAGTCATGGAAAATGCATGATTATAAATCAAAGTTTGGAAAATATGTGATTTGTATTCATCAGATTTGAAAAAGTAATGGAAAATCATTTTAACCACATTTATTTTGAAATACTACACATTTTTGTTTTATTTTTCAACTAGCTAGAGTACCCGCTATGTAAATTTATGATTAATGAAAGGTTATCTTAGAGCATGAAAAGTTGCTTCCATTATATATAATTGTAAAAAACAATAAAAACTGCAAATCATAAAATGTGAACTGCAAGTTTTTTTGTATCTCCCCATTCGACAGGAAAAATGGGGAATTGCAAAAAATGTCCATAAAAATTGCAAAATGTAATATACAAAACTGAAAATTTGTGTGTATGTCCCCAAAGACCTAATGAACATCCATACCATATTTGGTGAAGATCCATTTACAGGGGGCAAAGTAGTAATAAAAAATGCAATAACATAGAAATGCCCTTAAAAACTGCAAAATGCAAAACTGAAAACTTTATGTAGCTCCCATAGACCCAGTGAACCTCCATACCAAATTCGGTGAAGATCCATCCAGAGGAGGTGAGATAGTGGTAAAAAAATGCAAAAATGCCCATAAAAACCACAAAATGCAAAACTGAAAATTTGTATGTACCCCCACATGGACCTAATGAACCTCCATACCAATTTTGGTGAAGATCCATCCACACCCTGCAAAGTAGCTACATGGACATATAACAGACAGTATTGTTACATTTATATAGATCTATTTTATTTATTTATTTGCTCATTCTAATTGTATAACTGGGTAAACATTATTTACTGCCAAAATGTTTGCAAAAAGCATCATATGTAGTCTACTGATGTTTTGAGGTAACCACATTGAAGAACACAGCTGTAAATAAAACAAGGTGCAAAGCAAATAACATGACAAATAATGATTTATTTTTATTAATATTTCTGATTGTTTTATTTTATTTGTGAATCTGGCATAGGCTAGTGGTTAAGGAGTTCAACTTGCAATCTTGAAGTTGTGGGATCAAATTCCATCACCAAATGTGCTCACATTTTCAGATATAAGATCATTATAATGTGATGATCAGTCTACAATTCTTTGGTAAAGATTAGAAGAATAATTGGTGGTAAGTGGTGTTGACTAGCTGTTTCCCTCTAGTTTATCGCTTCAAACTTAGGGACCTCTAGCACAGATATCTCTCAAAAAGTTTAATGCAGAATTTGACAAACTTTTTTTTATTCATTAAGGTTTTAGATTTGACATAATGTATTCATTGCATTCTTTTTAGTTTCACAGGTTTGTAGTAATGGAACTGAACAATGTTTCCTCACTAGTGTTTTCTACTAAATTGAAAGCACACATTAAATAAATAAATCAGAAAAATTTTAACTTTGAATAAATAGAAGCTGAAAAGGCAGTGTTTTGCCTCAAAGAATAATGTGAATACAGGTCTGGTTCTTATTTCCTTGCAATACAGTGCTTGAAAAATACCATGCTTGAGAAGTTTGATACAAGTAACAAAATTGATTCAAGCATCTTTGTATTATTCTGCTTGCTCAACTTCACAGGTAAACTTTTTGAAAAAAACTGCAAAATATACTATGGCAGCTGATACTTTTGAAAATTTGTTAATTGTTATTTTAACTATAGCATAATTGCCTTTTCAATTAAGTGTCATTCCTGTGATTATATGTGATGTAATGGCAGATTTCCCAAGCCCTTCATTATATAAGATCGTTTTCACGGAAATTACATTCAGAAATTAGATGACTACTCAGTGGTTCTTAACATATCCTAATCATATATTTCAGTTATTCGTGTTACTGTAATTTAAAACAAGAAAATACAGAACAGAGAAAACTTATATTCTTTGTTCCACAGTCTCTTATTATTCATTTACGTGTTTATTTGCCCTGTACTGATTTTCCCAGTTTTCTGATCTTGACAACTTTTGCCAAAATCCTGGAAGCTCTTGTAACGGAAAGCATTACAAATTCTAAATTGGACAAGGATTTTCAGATATGGTTATTTCTTTTAGTTGCTTCCAACATTTGTTGCTTAATGATATAAAATTCAATTTTCAAAATTGATCCTTTTTTGAAAATAAATTATGATGATATGTTAATAAAAATTGGAAATAATTTTAAAAACATCATTGTAACAAACTGTGTCTTTGAAATGCTACTATGCAATAGTTAAAATGTCATCTACAGTCCTGTATAGAGCACAAGACTTTACATTGTAAAATAAATTGATTATCCTTTTTTAGTGAAGCATAATAATGTTACTTGGAATAAATGATAATGGCATAGATTATAACTATTTTACAAGGAGATCTGTATAAATATGAAAGAAGTATATACTATACTGGTAATTTCATATATATATATTGTGAAGTTAATTACCTCACTTATCAATTGCTAATTAGATTGAAATTAAGACTTGACAACCACTTTTAAATCTGTCCCAGCCTGCTGATATATTTGTGGTATTGTACAAAAGCCCTCTTTGGCACTAGACATAACATATATTGTGGTTAACATATTATTACACACTCCTCTTTTCTTTCACACAGAAGTTGTTATTAACAATAACTTTACATAATACCAACAGTAAGAGTAGATTAAAAACCAACTTTCTGAATAGTTGATGGAGAGAGAATTTTGCACAGAAAAAATTGATACGACTGTAACTGTACCCACATACCTCTGAGACTAAGCCATTCAGTGAAGAGTCACCCTCAAAATGCTGTTAAAAGTGATGGTAAGATTGATATTTCACACTGAAATAGCATTCCTTTGTCTGCACTTTCAGTTTTAGTACTGATTCAGCTGAAATAGCTGATGAGTGTTTGAATTAAGCAAAGAATTTCACTGATAACGTGATTAATGTATACATATAAAATGCATACGTTTTAAGAGTATACCCTTATTGTGTCAGATAAGGTTTCTTGCTTCAAATCCATACCCTTTGTTACCCAGGTGTAGATGTCAGTAATTGTTGCTTGCCATTATGTAGCTTATTCTCATCATAATAGTCAGATAAGGTTTTTTGCTTCAAATCCATACCCTTTGTTACCCAGGTGTAGATGTCAGTAATTGTTGCTTGCCATTATGTAGCTTATTCTCATCATAATAGTCTTTCGTTAGTGAAGCTGCATGGTTTTGATGATACTGTGGCGGCCTGGCATGGCCAGGTGGTTATGACTCTTGACTTGCAATATGAGGATTCTGGGTTTGAATCTTGTTCCACCAAACATGCTTGCCCATTCAGCCATGTGGGTATTATAAAGTGACGGTCAACCCCACTATTCATTGGTAAAAGAGTAGCTCAAGAGTTGGTGGTGGGTGTTGATGACTAATCACCTTCCCTCTTGTCTTTCACTGCTGAATTAGGCACAGCTAACCAGATAGCACTCGTGTAGCTTTGCACAAAATTCAAAACAAAACAAACCAATACTGTGGCAGTATTTCAGTATATGGCAGTACTTGTACGTATTTGGGAATTCCTTCTGTGTCCACATCTAAAATATTAGTTTTTTTAACCTTAAAATTACTATCTTATTTTCACAGCATTCATTGCTGGTAGCACCCACATATTTCTTCATATTAAGTTATTTTATATTTTTGAATATATGAAAAATCTGAAATTTTATCAAAGTACTAGCTTCCTCAAATCATAAAAAATTCTAATAATTCTAACAACTGGAGTTTTTCACTGTTCACAGAAAAAAATACTTGTGTTATTCTTTTATTTTCTTGTATTTAACATGTACGTTTTCTGTAAATGTTACTGCCCTTCATTATAAATCTGATAGTGTTTTTATTGTAACTGTCATTGGTAAGTAAGCATATATTGTATTATTGCCTTCCAGTGACTCAGCCAGCAGTAAGTGTAAGGGCTTATGACACTAAAAAGCAGGTTTGGATACTGTTGATGAGCACAGTGCTGATAGTTCATTTGTGTGGCTTTGTGGTTTGTATTGGTGGCTTTTCAAGGCTTAGACTCCTTGGCACAAAAGTACAATCCATCCCACTGAAATCATAAACCCATTAATTTTGCACTGTGCGATATACATTGCAGTCTTGGTAATTTTCACTTGTTAAAATGAATTGGAAACATTTGAGACTATATTTTACTTTATAAAGCAATTAAGAGATAGTGAAATAATTGTATCATTTTTATTTTAGCACTATATGAAATTTATAAATTTGTATTTAATTGTTCTGGTCGTTTAACTATTAATTAATAGAATATTAATTTTATATTATTAATATCCTGGTCTTGAAGGTACATATGTTTACTAACATAACAGATTTGTATTGCAGGGCAAGAGGCATCACATTCAGAAAAAGCCATGCTGTAGCTGGATTTTTCTCACAGATAGGACAATTGTATATGGTTCATCATATTTGGGGTAAGTTGATTAGAATGTTGTACTTGATAAATGAACAAGAGGAAAAAAGAAATGAGAAATTTAACAATCTAAAATCTGTAAACCTATAATATTTGACTTGTATGTGATGTCCTTGCCATAACTGATCAAGTTTGCAATATCTTCTGCAATTAAACCAAGATTCACAGATTTGCAGATGATAATTTTCATGAAAATGGGAGAAGATCAATTAGATGTTGGGTGTAGTGAGGAAAGAGATACTGACACAAGATTGGAGTTTGGCAGAAAAAATGATTTTTGTTTTATCTTAGTCAAAAACATGACTGATAATTTTCTTCATCTAGAAAAAGGAATAAATGATATCTATTTATACATTTAATGTTGGACCATGTTAGTTGTAAAGAAGATATGTCAGTAATATCTCACTTCAAAGGTAGTAGGTGCTCTTCTGTACAATTTCTTCAGTCTTCAATAGTAATAGGAATTTTGAAACCATAATCTTTTGTTTTATACAGTCAACCAATTAAAAACTACACATAACTTTATCTAAAAATTGTGTTATGTTGTTTTTAGAGTATCTAGTAATCGATTGATTATTAAACTCATAAGCTCAGCAAAAGGAAAGGAAGACGAAAAAATTGTGAAATGTGAGTGGAGGCTTTATATTGTTCCAGAGTATGAGTATTTACAAATGAGAAACTGGAAATGAGAGTGTCTTTACATAAGCCATAGAGATATTCATGAATTGAAAACCAACTAAGATGACTTTACATAACTGAGGAAAAATCTAATAGCCCATGAATCAAGTAGATTGTTTGACTTTGTGACATATCCAACTGCTGACTTTTTAACATTGTTTATTCTTTCCAGTTCTTTTAAATTATCAGTCCATTTAATGAGACAAAATTAGCTTTTTTCTTCCTTTAAACAATTTTACAAGCTAAAATCACTTTTAAACTGTATTATCTTGTTTAGGCCTACTTCTACAAATGATGTTCTACCTCTAACAACAGTACTAGTACTAACATACAGTCAATGCATTTTTACAAAATAATGTGATTACTTATTTCAGCTGTCTTTTATATCAATACACCTACTTGTACAAAATAATGAGATAACTCTCATTTTAATTATCTTGGGATCTCAATTAACTTGACACTGGATGGAGTGTTGATTTTATGATCTACCCTGCTGTTAAGTATTTCTAGGGTAACATGAACTTAATTTCACATTACAACTTCAAAAATCTATAGTTTCCTCTAGCTGACAATTAAATTACTACATTAAAAACATATGGTTTATAACACCAATATTTATTGGATTGTGAAGTTCCTTAAACAATCCAAATTCAAAAAAATCAAATCAAATAAAACACTACACCAAATTGTCCACTTACCAAGTATTTTTTATGGTTTTCTCTTCTAAAGCCCATGGTATACAGATAGGTTGGCATATTTTCTTTGTCCTTGTTGCTGGCTGTCCTGTCACTGGATTAGTTCTTTCTAGATAGGTGGTTGGATGAATCTGCTGTTGGTTCCAACCTGAAAGTACTCCTGATAGGAACTCCAGGCTTCCCAGCAGGTTGAGGTTCCACTCACAAACTTTTCTCAGGAGTTACCCAGTTGGCCATTTTCTCTCAGAAGAACTTTCAAAGAGGACTATGATGAATAACCTTTGACTTGGATTGTCTATTCTCCGAACATCTATTAAGCTCTGGAATTTATACTTTTGTGACAAGAACTGTTCAACCATATCATGCCACCTCAATGAAATCCTGTTTATCAGCATCAGAAGTATTGCTTTTATCACCAGCTGATATAAGTTTTTCCCAAGTGAAGTCATGTACATCTTTATTCTTCACATCCATGAGACTTCCAACAACCTAGTCCTCAGAAGATGCTGGAGCATTTGGTTCCACTGCTGCCCAACCACTGGATGAAGAACTATTGCTAATAATTCCTGATCTACGTATTTCACTTGGTGACAACTGTTTCTGTTTCCACTGGAAGTTCAAATTCTGGTGTCATAATTGCCTCGTAGTACATAGGAATTTTCTGGTCATTGGAAATTCAAATCTTGTGTCATAATTGCCTTGTAGTACATAGGGATTTCCTGGTCATTAACTGTAAAACTAGCCTAATGTCACACCAATGTCTGCTCAAAGTCAGTTCACAACATGCACTCTTCTTCAGTATCATTTACTTGCACATCATTAGGTGTAGAGAAGCTTCCTGCACTAAGGGTAACTTCCAACTTACTTTTTGCTGAAACTTTGTGTCCACCTGCTGTTGTTTGCATCAGTCTTTCATCGTATCTGGAGGCAATTTCCCACCTTTCATCACCAAATGGGTTTGAACAATTGTAGCTGTGGAACTAGCATCAATCAGCACACTGCAAAGTTTGCCATCAATAAACCCATGGACTCATCGTTGAATTTCCTCAAATAGTGAACTACTTTTCTCTTCTGGGATAGATTAAGTATTCCCACTATTGATTCTATAGTCCTGACTGTAATGGCCATATTCACATCAATTATAACAGTCCCCTTTTTACAGTATTTTCTGGGAGGAACTCTTATTCCATACTGCCGTTGCCTACAGTTTTTGGTAATATGTCCCTTCAAATTACACTTGAAGCATCTTCTGTCTTGTGGTTTATTTTCTATGTTCTGTTGAACTAGATGTCCAATTGATTCTTTCAGATCTTCTATATTATCTTTAGGGGAAATTGATATTACAGTTCTACAAGATCTAATGTTCCTATAACTTCTAGATGGTCCTGTTAGTAGTTTATCTGCAACTTTGATTGATTTCAGTTCCATCACCAACTACAGAGCTTTCTTTAGAGATCTTCACCTACTCTGCTTCAACCTAATTCTCATATCCTTGTCTATTACTGTGTCTATAAATTGGTTGTGTGCCAAGGAATCCATCATCTCACAAGGAGTATCTAAGTAAGATAGTTGAACAAATATTTTCATATCTTTCTCAAGTTTGGCTAAGGCCTCTTCTTGTGTCTGTTCCCTTTTCTGGAACTTTGCTCTAGATACTCCTTTTTGCTGTGACAATCCAAACCTGTTGGATAAAGCAGCTGCCAGTGCTTGATAGTATTTATGACTCTCAGCTGGATCATCAAAGCTTGTGTTTTTATATGTGCAGCAAGATGGATAGCTTGTTGGTCATTATTCTATCTGTTCACTCTGGAAATGATTTTCAACTGAGCCTGGTATGACTTCTATGGTACCTTTCCTTTATATTCTTTTGTTTTCTGCATTGGTCAGTGTTGAACTGGCTAGCTTAATTCTGAAACTGGATTTGGTATTGTTATGGATGGAGTAGTTCAGGAAGTAACAGGTGGCACAGCAGTAGTGGTAATAGATGGAGATCGAATAACTTTTCCAATTCTTGTAGTAGATGGTGTTTTAGGTTTGAATTCTTGAGCTGGTACAGAAAGAGATCTAGTTGGTTTAATCTTTGCATTTAATAATTAATTTTCAAACTGTTTTATTCTGGTACTGATGTTCTTTTCTTCCTCTTGGATGTCTTTCTTTACTTTTTCATTGTTTTCATTCCAGCTGTATTGTACTTCTTCAATTTTATTATTACAGCCCCTCCATAGTTTTTCAGCCTTTTTTTTTATAATAATCTTTGTACATCCTCAATAGTTTTATCAGTTTTATTTTTTATTTTATTTCTTCCATAAATATTACATCCATTTCTTGTGACTCCTCTCTTAAATTCATGTTTCTTACTGCTTGAGCTTTTAATTTTCTTCCTGGTCTTCTTTTAATTTTCTGTCCATTTCTTCTAGTTCTTCTTTATTTTGTCTTGACAATTTCATTATCTCAACTAATTCTTGAAACACATTACTTGACCTCGTGGTCACCCTCTTCAGCAGTTGAAATTCTATTTCAAGCATATTCCAGATTCTCTTCTATTTTCATCACTTGTGATACCAAATTGTTATAACTTTGTTCTTTCTTTGCTGTTCTTTAAAATTCTCAGGTGAAATAATTCAATGTCCAATCCACTTAATGAGAAGAAAATAGTCTATTTCTTCCTTTAAACATTTTTACAAGCTTAAACTGCTTTTAAATTCTTATAAATTGTTTGGGCATGTTCTTGCAAATGATAGTATACATTTCTAACATAAGTACTAGGACTAACATACAATCAATCTACTTGTACAAAGTAGTAAAATAAGTGTTTTATCTCTACTAACTTTCTTTATATGTCACATTACATCATCAGAAACCTATAGCTATAAGTATAAATTAACACAAAAACACAAATGTTTAGATTTAAATAGCTTAAATCTCATAATATTATACATTTATATATATTTATTATTTCAGTCGTGCCTGGCTAACAATACAGAAGTTACAATGACGCTGCTTATGTGCACTCATGTTATTGTAACCAATAATATAAAGCTGACCTTTTGTATTTACAAAGTGGCATGTCTTGGCTGTGTTTTAGTGGACTAGTATTTTGTAAAGTACAGTCACATTTCAATTATTATACGTTATGTATGTACATACATTATTACTATTTACAAATAAGTTCTTAAACTTATTTTTCTTAAAACATAGAATAGTAAATAAAGAAGTAAAGCAAACAATTATATCTTCTAGTTATGACATTTGTGCTCATTTACTGCTTCGCGTAGGTAGCTAAGCCTTATAAAATTGTGCGCTTGGAGGATGTCAAATTATATTGATTCAGTACATGAGTGATATCTCAGCAAATAGAAAAGATAGGAGGTTCTTATTTTATGTTCCAGCTTGTCGATATCAGTAATTGAAGTTCCTAATTCGTATGAAACTATAAACTGTATTTTGACATCACAAGTATCTAATTTTTGAAACAGTGCTACATTCAACATACCACATGACACACAAAAATCGATGTTTAGGTGAGTGTGTTTTTAATATTTACTTTTAAATTAAGAAATTAAATATTGTATAATACTAAAATTTTAATTATAATCTACAGCTTGATACCAAACTTATTGACATAAATTCATAAAATAGTAGTTCAATAAAATTTTTAATGATAGTCAACAAACGTGATGATATAGCCTTTGACCCATGACCCATGTGGAGAGGGTTAATAGATACAAAAACCCCAACATATAATTGTTATCATTTTGGAATTTTAAATATCTGATGCAAAAAGTTATATTAGTGGAAGCCGTTGGAAGTTTATACATAGAATAAAGAAAGAAAAGTGATGATTGGACAGTATGTACTGTAGTTTTTAATTTACCTTGCAATGTGTGAATCTCTAATATAAATTGATAAAATCTAGGAAATCAAAATTGTAAGTGCCACCTATGTAAAAATATTAGTTTAAGAATCAAGTAAATGGAAAAAAAAACCCAAAAAACCTTGTATTTAACAAAACATAATATGCACATGTATAGGAAATGAAATAAATATATTTTAGAATTATATCAATTTTCTAAATTCTTGTCTGTAATCCCATTATCCAAAAATTGATATGGGGAGGTGGTTTGATAAAAACTAAGAATTGAAATGGACCAACTATGTTTTCGATTATCATACAAAACAAATATTTGCAAAAAAAATATAAGAAAGCTTGTGATATTTAGAATTATAACAATTGTTTGATAAGAATAATTTGGACCATTTACTATTTGTTTAATGTTTATATAGAGTAAATTGTTTTTGTCACATTGAACTAATAGGTATTCTACATCACTGTTCTGGAGAAATGTATTTAGGGACTATTCAATAACATTTCTACTATCAAAATTAATAAACCATATATATATATTTAATGTATAACATTAACCTAAAATAAACTGAAATATGGTCCAAGTATGGTGCTCATATTATTAAAATATTTATAACTAAGGTTTATGCCTATAGTTTTGATTATTGACAGTCACTTGATGAAAATGAGGTGAAAAACTGCTGTTTGCAAACAAAGTTATGTTTTCAGGAAGAAAGTAAAATACTTTTTATAGTAATTATTTGTACTGATGATTCTACTTGCATATAATCATTGAGTGCATGTTTTAGGAAAATAGAAAGATATATATCTTATATGTGTATACAGTTTGAATAGATATTGGGGTTCCATTTCTCTTTATTTAAGTGGCACTTGTACATGGAAAAGATGAATAGTATTTCTATCTGTTTTGTATTGGTAGGCTACCAAGACCTACAAAAGCGAAAAGAAGTGAGAGAAGAAGTGTGGAGACAACCTGGATGGGATGATTGTGTTGCTCATACAGGTGATTCATAGTATTTTTCATGTTTATCTTTTAGTAAGATGAAGTAACCTAGTTTCTGGTGTAGTTTTATTTTAATTGTTGATAATTAAAATAATAGTTTTATTTAATTTTTATTATGAGTATCATTAGTGTTTATATTATATTTGTGTGGTAAGAATATTTCAAACTTACCTGTTGATTAATGTCCAGAGACAAACCTATTGTTAATGTGAAGACTTATAAGCTCTTTCTGTGCAGTGCATTTGAAGAAGTTTTCCTCCTAAGGTTCTGTTAGGTCTCCATAATTTTATTCTCTTTTAATATAAGCTTCTTGGTTTATAAAATTATATGTATATATATATATATAGATAAGTCATTGGGATTACAATATTGTAATCAATGGATGATATAAAGCAAAGATAAAACAAGAATTGCACAAAATATAAAAGACTAATAGAAGTTAAACAATCAATACACAGTGTCTTATCTCTATTATTTGATTGATAGAATTTACTCAATGACTAATTTGAAATAGATAGAGAATTAGCTCATTATATATATAAATAAATAGCTCACAAACTATTATATATATATATATATATTCGTAGGTTTATTAAGTTTGGAGTTTTTGCATAGAAACATTGTGTTTCCAGTTTTACAGGTCTCTTCTTGAACTTTGATAAGATATTTTGGCAAACAATTTTTCTTTCAAGAATAGAATCATAATACTTCTATATTACTTTACGAAAACTGTTTAATTGCAGCAGATATATGTTAGTAAGTAGACACTATATTCAATCTGTCAAGTGACTTAAGTTGCTACATGTACGTAAAGATCTACATGAAAGGATTTTGTTTGTCTGTGTATTGATAGTTTTAAAACATGTATTCATTTGATGTAGAAGTTTCTTAGAAAGTAGTAAACTGCATACAGAAAACATAAAAATATATATGTACATGTATTATAGAAGGAAGTTGGTGATTATGAAATATTTAATTTGGAAATTTTTAAAAAATAACTAGACCAGGAACATATCTCAAACTTATATTCTACATTACTTCATATACATTGTCATATCACTTATTATATATAATTCAAGATAACAAAGAATCTGTTGGTACATTTAGGCTAGCTCATCCACTAAACTAAACTTTGAAATAAAGATAAGACACTCAGAGCTGGCCTCTATCATTGAAATATTTATTAAGCCTTCCCTTTAACTCCATTACATTAACAGCATCCATCACATCTGAAGGCAATCGATTCAAAAGGCCAACCAACCTGTTAGAAAAATAAAGTAGCATAGCTTAAGAGGACTCGTATTCTGCCAAAATTTACCTGACGCCTAACATTATCACATTTAAAATGAGAAAAGATGATTCATCAATATTATCATGGAAGTGACCACACCTTAAAACATGTAAAATAATAAATAGATCTTTAACAATTGGAAAACTGTAATGTTTAACACTTCTGTAACTTAGAATTTACCTTAATTCAGGTATATTTAGGTGAATATTTCACTTTTCATGTAAATTTTCTGCATTTAACTGACATCACTGAACAAGATGTGAATAGTCATAAACTTGCATTAAACTCATGTTGGGCTATGGTTACATATCACAGTGACCATTTCATATAGCTTATGCTCACTTGAGATCACTACCTTGGAGTTTGGTCATACCTAGGTAGCAGGGTATTAATGAGTTTTGTACAAGTTATTATAAACTGGAGTTAGTCTTTCCCTTAATATGTGAAATGGAAACAGTTACCATGAGATACATTAAACCTTAGTAGCTGTTTCATGTAGTAGGGGAATATTTGAGACTAAATTATGCATTTTATGGCTCCATGATTGTTTTACTGTAGCCTTACAATCACTAAAACTTTCCAGATCTTTTCTGCCTTTTGGGCTATCACTGATATTTTAAAAGAATTTGAAGGACTCATGTATTCCTCTGTTAATTATACTTTGAGGAGTCTTTTCAGTTTTGATATTTGAATATTCTGAACATTAAGCAGTATCTTATGCTGGTATATTTTTTCTTTTGTGTGTATCATCTCACAGACAGATCAGTTCTATTCTTTTCCTACATTTCTTTTTTTTTAACTAATAGTTTTTTTTAGAAGTGCTTGGTTTCATTACAGTATTGAAAACTGTAGTTGAACATCTTGATACCAGAACAATTGTTTTACATTTCTCATTGTAACTATCATGATGTATGTTCAGTTCTAATATATTTTTACTGGACTCTTATCTGTTTTACTTCTTTTCATTACAGTATTGAAAACTGTAGTTGAACATCTTGATACCAGAACAGTTGTTTTACATTTCTCATTGTAACTATCATGATGTATGTTCAGTTCTAATATATTTTTACTGGACTCTTATCTGTTTTACTTCTCCACTAAATTAGATTTTGGTAAATACAGTGCAGTTTAATCTTTCATAACAAATTCTTTGCCCTACCAATAATCAGACTGAGTGTGGCCCAGTAGTTAGTGTGCTGAACTGTGAATTTAAGGTTCTGTGATTTGTGTCCTGTTGCCACCAAAAAATAAACAAACAACCAAACAATGAGTACAACTTTTTTTTTATTGCTGCTGGTGTCATTAAAACTTTATTCTTTAGATGTTGAATAGAATTTGTAGTATCAACTCAAAGTAAATCTGATTTAGATTTCCTTGCATGTTTAATGCAATTAAATTTCTAAGTTGAGTGACTTAGCACCCTACTAACACTTTGAAGAAAATTTTAAATATTTTTGTAAAGAATTGGCCTATGTACCCTGACATCATTTTTAAATTCCTTTCTATTTATGGTACTGCATTATGTTCAAAATTTAATTACACCACTTTACTATCAATATATGTCAATGAAATTAACATTATAATTTATCTTATAATTGAAATTTTTATGTTATCTAAGTTTTAATTACTTTGTTTCAAAGTAAACCTTTCAAAAATACTTAAACTGCAGTTTTCTTCTCATGTGATCCACATGCTTTGAAAAATCTTGACTTTAGCAGTGGCTCACTCTTAGAAACATAAGCTGGCAGTGTACATGAGTATGTAGATGCTAGATATGTGGTATTCAAAGTCCTGCAACTGTATTCACTGGGAAAGAGATATAAGTATTCCCACCCTTGATGGTTGCCATACCCACCTTCTATACTTTGCCTTGAGATCTACAATGTACATGTAGTTAGTTGACACAAGTGTATATAGTTATTAGAAAGAGCTCAGTTGACACTATACTCTACCAGTGTTTATTTGAAATTGGTGCACAGTTTTCCCCATGTTGTACATGTAACTGCTGTTTGTATTGTTGTCTGCTTGATAAACTATAGCACTTATGGTGGTTTTTTACCTAAATATGCTTTAGTTAGAGAGACATTTAAATTGTATTTAGTTCTTACTTGTATATTTTAGTTAATTGTGTATTATGTGTGTTTTAAAGATCATATTTGAAAGATTTAATGATTTTTATAAATTTAACTTGTTGTCTGGATCATGAAAGGTTATTAACAAGATGGTGTATACAAGCAACTATTTTTTTTGGCAACACATCTCTATGTAGAGTCTTTAAAAATACCGTAAGAAAGCTCTGTGGGCATCAGTTGACATATGGGCATAAATGATGATAGACTAAGAATTTGAAAGGAAAATTAAAAATAAACTGTAAGTGGAAAGATAGATGTGAAAATATGTATATAAGAAAAATATGACTATTGTAGTAGATTTCTCTGAAGAGTTGAAAGGTATGTAAATATTTTCATTTGTAATTTTAAACATTTCATTGCACTGTATGTTGATGATAATATGTAGTTAGTGATATTTACCTTAAAAAACTTTTAATATTCATTTATGACATTCTAGAGATTATACAAATGAAATGTGATAATTGTAAGAAAACTTGTATTTTCAAACTTCATATAAAAACCACCTTACATGTGAACTATTCAGAGTGCGAGTGAAAATAATGAATTTTTTATTAGAAATAGTAGAAAAAATCATAATTAACACTTCTGCCACGGGTATCCTTTACTGCATGACACAAGTTTTTAGTGTCTTACATTAAAAATGTTAATAAAATACTTTTTGTTTATGTTATACAAATTAGTATAGCATAAAATCTTAGCTAATAATCCATATTTTAATAGTATATAAGTTTTAAGTTCTTAATTCTATAAAGCAATATTTAAAAAAATCCTGAATTTCCCCTTGTGTGATACGACACATTTTCTATAGGTATTTTTTCTTTTCTATTTTATCCATCACCCCTCCACAAAATACGAAATTCAACTTAAATTACTCACTATAAAATCTTCATTGCTCAGACAAACCATAATTTTTATAACCTTCAATTTTGTTTTGTTACAGAGCTATCAAATAGAAAATCAGACCCCCTCCTGCCACATCCATGTATTACATCATCTTTTTCAGGATTTGTTAGTATTTCTCTCTCATGTATAATTATATATTACCTATAACCAATAGAATGCCAAGATTTTCATCTATCAAATGATGTATTCTACAATGTTGTGTTCTGAATACAAAATAGTCTATTGCACTTGTAATACAACTTTGGTTCTCACAGAATCACAATGGCTAGCTTGGAGGAATTTGTAACGGCTCTTGTCGCATAGTTAGAAAGCCAGAGAAATTGTGATTGTTAGAGGAAATTGGCTGCTTTTTGCATGTTAATAGTCTGTTTTTTGGTGTATTATTTAATTAAATAAAAATTATTTCATGCATTACTGTAAATTAATATAAAAAATGAAGGGTTAAGTGTCGTCGATAGTCGACAGCCAAAAAAATTATTACTGAAGTAAGTACTTTATTTCATGTTTTTCATGTTTATTCTTTTTTTTTATTAAAAAATTAACTAAAATGTAAAAATAAATATCTATTTACTTTAGTGAAGGTTAGATTATGTAAAATAATAATATAATAGGAATATTTCATGAGGCACGCATTCGAGCAGCTCATGGGTAATTTAATTTGATAGTGTAACGTGAGATGCATGTTCCCCAAGTGATTTACAGCTTATAAAGGTGTGAATAGTAGTTAGACACAGTGCAGAGGGCAATAAAGCAATAAAATTTAATATTAAAAAAATATATATAAATATATATATACTGTTACAAGTTTAAAGCTACTTACAATAAATGAATGTAGTTTCACGTTACATTTGAAGTCATTCTAAAAAGAAAAGGATGTTAATTTAGATTTATTTCGATTTTTATTTTGGTGGTTATGAGGTTAGTCAACTTGACCAACCTTGGATAGACTTATGGTGGAGAAAAGAAAAAATAAATTATAAAGTTTTAGTGAAAACAAACATTTGAAATGTATTTAGGAGTTTTTAAGGATTAGACAAATGAAATTTGAGATTATTTAGATGGGGAAAAGTATTTTTAATCTTAACATGAAAATCACTTTGCACATGAACTATTCAAAACAAATACTCGATATATTCAAGGATATATCTTTTTTTAGTTTATAAAATGCTGCACTAAAAATATGATTTTTTTATATTGCCAACTTTTGTGAAGATATACACATTATGTCAAAGTTAGTAGTATCAAATCTATAAAGACTTTATACAAGTACAAAAAGGTCACATGGTTGGTCAAATTGATTGAGCCCATGTGGAGAGAGTTAAATGTTTTATTTTTCTGAAACTACATGCTTTTAGGAATGTTCTTGTCAAATTTTAAACAGCCACTAGTTTTATTTTTGGAATGAAATATGACAAGAGTGATGTTACCTACTAAAAACAATTAGTAGCTGGTTGTCTTAGGGTTAACCACAGGCTCTTGTGAAAGAGGTATTAACTCTATATGCAGTGTTTGAGGTCAGAGTGGTATTATATATTTGATGTCAGCTTACCTACTCTCTTAATGACAGTTTGTGGTAAATGTTTATATAGTATGTAGAAAATAATCTAGATCTGTATTTCACAGGTTCTAGAAGTTATGCAAATGCAAACTATACAATGGAAAAAGTAACAAATCTAAGTTTTTGTGTACAACAGACTTGTACATTTTAAAAGTTTGCCATAGTAAATTTGTTATTATAGTCTCCATTCCTTCTAAATCAGAGTCAGTCCATTTTTTGGTTAAGGCAGATTTCTTCATCTGGTTTATATATCTATCAGTGTTTTTGATTAGAATGGAAAATTCTCAAATCAGTTGTTTTTTTTGGCAACATATTAACCATTACATCTGGAAAAAGTAAAAACTCTTTCTGGTGTTGAAATTTAAATCTCGTCACATAAAATTAGGTAAAAAATGTGTAATTGTACATAATACAGTTAATCGTATCTTTGTTACAAACCTAATGTATAGAAGAAAAAATGACATGCGTGTGTATCTTTACATTCTTGTTGACATTTTGTATTATTAGTTCTTCACACAATTAAACATTGTAAAGTTATAATTGTTTACTATTCATTTTATTTATTTACTACAGTGGTAAGCCAGAGAGCTTATAATGTTAAAAATTGGGTTTCAATACCTATGGTGGACACAGCACAGATAACCCATTGTATAGCTTAGTGCTTGACAATAAATAATTTAATTAATCATATCTAATCTAAATTTTTTTATGCACTATTTTGCATTAAATGTAATTAATTTTGTTTGAATTTAGTCTGTCATGAGACATTTGCCTGTTTTGTTGTTTTTCAGAATTTGTAGAGCATACTGGAGGGATTCAGACATGTTGGCAATGATTGTTTTTATATAGATGTAATTCTTGTTGCAAAATGCCAGAATGAAATGTAGGATTATAGCTCAACAATTAAACTCTTGTGATTAATTATGTCAACAAAAGTGAAAGTGATGAGGATAAAAAATCAGCTTTCTTTAAAGATGTACTTGTACTACTAGCCCTGATAAAGGCATAGTGGTGAAATGTGACTGCAAACATACATTTAGTTCACTGGCATTATCTACTGTGTGACTTCTTGTTTTTTTACCTATGTCAGTTTATTTACATTAGACTTCTCTTATTTTTCAGTTCCACTTATCAGAGAAATGAGATCAAGATGGCTCACTCCAAACTCCTTCTCACCGATTCTGTAGAAGTTGAAAATTGCAGATAAACAATTTCTTATATTATTGAGTGATCCTGTTTTGTTTTTCAGTTTAGGTTAGATTCAAGAACAGATTTTATTTGGAATAATATTTAATTTCAACAAACAATAAGCAGAAAGATATATTCACCAATATCAACATAGTTTTTCCTCTTATGCACATGGGTTTAGCTCTTGATCTCAATACTCTAAACACAACTGAAAATGTCTGTACTATAGGGAACACTAATAGATCTTTCTTTTTAAGAAATACAAAATTATAATATTATTTCTGCAAGGTAAACTATTTATGATAAATTGCAGAAAAAACATGTTATTTCATATAACAATATAACGTTTGCATGTATAATTATATATAGATGTAATCCCTTTTGCAAAATGCCAGAAGTAAATGTTGGACAATAGCACAACTAAACCTTTATGCTTAGTTATGTTCACCAAAGGAAAAGTGAAAGGTTAAAAAATCAGCTTTCTTTACAAGGTGTTTGCATTTAAATCATCAATGGGAGTGTTTGTTATAGCCTCTGTAAATGGGCATGAAGAATTCACTGTTTTAATGTGTGTGCAACTGATATTGAAATCAAACATACCAATTTTTGTTTAAAAAAAAAATTCTTAAACAATGCAGAATGGTTTTCTTTTATAATTTTTATTTTAAGTAAAATAAGTGATGTATTAATTATACTTTTGAAAGCATAGATCCTTTTAAGAACTAAAACTGGCTCTGTCTGAGAGTACTTTGATTTTTAGTTAGCATCATGTTCAGTATGTAACACATAAAAAGGTATTGTTTTGTTTTTATTTCATTAGGTTTGGGGTAAAATATAGCTTATTCTGAATGCACATTGTTAAATGATCTTCCTCATTTATTAGTTTTTGTTAATTGATATTCAAATGATAAAAGGTAGTGAAAGTTCTTATGTTTTTTTCGTACATTGGCTCATAACAACCTGATATGCAGACGTACTATTAAAATGAACAAAATCCTTTAAAACCTCTCAAGAAATTTAAAAGTAATACTGAATGAAAAGCTGTTAACAGTAAACTCATGTGGGCTTAGGTGTATGGTATTCACTATGATTTTATGTTCTTCTATTGCATAGTTTAATTTGTAGTGAAACTTTTTAAATGTATAAAACTACAAACATACACCTAGCTACAAGTCCCATGATTGTATAAATAATTAAAGTTATAACTAGACAAATATATAGCATCTAAGGTATTTGTCACAATGGAAACACAAGTTTTGTTTAAAAATTATCATACAGTTTTAAGATTTGCAAATTAAATTATATGATATTTACATGTATGTGTATACACACACACACACACACACACGCATGTACATCTTTTATTAATTTTTAGTTATATTGCAAAATTGAGCATTGAATATATGAAACTGTGAATATTAGAAACATATGGACTGATTTGGGGGAAGATATATGTTTTTTTTTATGAATTATTATTTAGTACTTGAACATAATATATGATTATATTTATTGCAGGAGCATCAATTTTGAGTGTGTATTCTAGATAAATTTCAATATCTTTAATGTTATCGTGTAAATCACTTTTTATATGTGAAAAACAATTAATTGAAGAAATACACAAGAAAGAAATCTTAATATGTACTGGATAATATTTGTTGATATATTTGATTGCTTATTAATAATTACATAGTCAGTTGGTGGACGTATACAAGTTCTTGGTGTGCGTCGTTAGTGTGGATGATTCTTTTTATGCCAAGGTAATGCATTAAAATATTTTTGCAGTTGAAAATTTTTCCTAAGCTAGTAATTCTTTTACAGGAAGGTTTTAGTGTCTTTTACTTCTTACTTTTTTTCAGTTTTATATCAAATGAAAGAAGAAAGTAAATGTATGTGTAGATATTACATACCATTAGATTAAAAAAAAATATATCTAATTTTTTATTATATGTTTTTTGTTGTTGTATGCTATTTTTAATTGGTATATTGAAGTAAAATATTACTTATATTTGAAATTCTTGTAAATTTTAGACAACAAAAAATGTATAATATTGTTTTAGTATGACAAAGCCTAAATATTTTTTTAAACTTAGAATTAGAACAAGTCATCCTATTTTATTTAGAATTTTCTTTCAATATAAGCTTCTGAAGTGACAAGTTAACAATCAAAATGCTTTCTGGAAGATAAAATGATCTAACAACACTTATATTACATTTAACAAAATTTGTTTTCAAGTGTTATATGTATTAGAAGTAAATTGTAAATATATTGAACTTTTCCATTGGGGGCTTGATCTGCTGAAAGCAAGAACTAAAAAATTTAGCTTTAGTTTAAAAAAAGTATCACTTTAGACTTTAATTTTGAACATCCAGCTTAAAGGAATCTCTACTGACTTCCATCAAAACAAGTGGGTAGGAAGTTGCAAGATGACTTGAGATTTGACAGAAACTACATCATAGAAAAAGGTCTAACTTTCCACACA